ACATTTAAGTTTGAAAACCTATACCTACACTAACCATATGTTCTGTGAGTTTTGTTTAGAAATAAACTAGTGCTAAACTTGTCATTATATCACATGGAACTGCCTTCCTTAGTGATTTTAATAAATCAAGACCTTTCTATTCCATACACAGGTAAAATGATAGAAGACCTAGATCCAACCATACTTACACCATACAGTACTTACACAGAATACTATACTGCTCAAAAAAATTAAAGGAACACTTTTTAATCAGAGTATAGCAACAAGTCAATGAAACTCCTGAGATAATGATCTGGTCAGTTAAGTAGCAGAGGGAGTTGTTAATCAGTTTCAGCTGCTTTGGTGTTAATGAAATTAACAACAGGTGCACTAGATGGGCAACAATGAGATGACCCCCAAAACAGGAATAGTTTTAAAGGTGGAGGCCACAGACATTTTTTTCCCTACTTCCCTATCTTTTCTTTTTTCACTAGTTTTGCATTTGGCTAGGGTCAGTGTCACTACTGGTAGCATAAGGCAATACCTGGACCCTACAGAGGTTGCACAGGCAGTCCAACTCTTCCAGGATGACACATCAATACGTGCCATTGCAAGAAGGTTTGCTGTGTCGCCCAGCACAGTCTCAAGACCATGGAGGAGATTCCAGGAGACAGGCAGTTACTCTGGGAGAACTGGACAGGGCTGTAGAAGGTCCTTAACCCATCAGCAGGACTGGTACTGTATCTGCTCCTTTGTGCAAGGAGGAGCAGGATGAGCACTACCAGAGCCCTACAAAATCACCTCCAGAAGGCCATTGGTGTGAATGTTTCTGGCCAAACAATCAAAAACAGACTTCATGAGGATTGCCTGAGGGCCTGACGTTCTCTAGTGGGCTCTGTGCTTACTGCCCAGCACCATAGAGCTCGATTGGCATTTGCCATTGAACACCAAAATTGGCAGGTCTGCCACTGGCGCCCTGTGCTTTTTACTGATGAGAGCAGATTCACCCTGAGCACATGTGACAGATGTGAAAGGGTCTGGAGAAGTCATGAAGAACATTATGTTGCCTGTAACATTGTTTAGCATGACCATTTTTTGGTGGTGGGTGAGTGATGGTCTGGGGAGACATATTCATGGAGGGACACACAGACATCTACAGGCTAGACAATGGCACCCTGACTGCTATTAAGTATCGGGATGAAATCCTTGGACCCATTGTCAGACCCTACGCTGGTGCAGTGGTTCCTGGGTTTCTCCTGGTGCACGACAATGCCCGGCTGCATGTGGTGAGAATATGCAGGCAGTTCCTGGAGGATGAAGGAATTGATACCATTGAATGACCCCACGCTTGCCTGACCTAAATCCAAAAGACCAACTCTTGGATATCATGTTTCGGTCCATCCGCCGCCATCAGGTTGCACCTCAGACTGTCCAGGAGCTCAGTGATTCCCTGGTCCAGATCTGGGAGGAAATACCACAGGACACCATCCGTCATCTCATTAGGAGCATGCCCCAACATTGTCAGGCTTGCATACAAACATGTGGGGGCCATACAAACTACTGAGTACCATTTTGAGTTGCTGCAATGAAATTTCAGCAAATTGGACTAGCCTGCTGCATCTTTTCATTTTGATTTTCGGAGTGTCTTTGAATTCAGTCTTCTGTAGGTTGATAATTTTCATTTCCATCAAACGATGGGGCATCCTTTCATTCCTAACACATTACCCAGTCCATATCAGTATAGATATCCTGCAAGATATGTTTCCCCATTGAGATCTGATGTGTTTTCAAAGTGTCCCTTTCATTTTTTTGAGCAGTGTATATACAAGTTTCTTTCACCACCTTGTGGTCACAGGGGGCACTGCAGCCTGAGCAGGGCTACCTTTTATTCAGTTCCAGTCTCAGTGTCTGTACCAGGGGGATGGGGTGTGTACTGAGAGGTGTGTACTCTGGGGAGGGGGTGTCTATACTGAGGGGTCTATGGGTGGGTAGGAATTTTGGGGGGTTAGTCTGTAGTGAAATGTCTGTGCTGGGTGCTGGGGAAGTGTTTTTATATTGAGGGATTTGTAATGGGGATTGGGGGGGGGTTGTTGTGCTGGGAGGGTATTTTTGTACTGAAAGGTTTGTAAAGGTGGATCTGTCTGTGCTGGGGTGTCTGTGCCGGGGGGGGGGGATTTTGCACAGGGGGATTTGTAATGGAGGGGGTCCGTCTGTGCTGGAGAGTCAGTCAGTACTGAGAAGTTCTATGCTGGGGGGTTATTTGTGTACTGAAGGTTTTGTAATGAGGGATATCTGTTTGTGCTGGGGGGGAGTCGGTCTTTGCTGGGGGATCTGTTCTAAGGGGTCTGAGTTGTGTTGTGCGGTCTATGTGTGTATGCCTGTACGCTGTGTGTAGAAAAGTACAGTATATGCGGTCACACAATGCTGCACTCAAATTAAATGTATGTCCTTTTTTTCCCCACAAACGGTGCTTTCTTTTGGTGGTATTTGATTACATCTGCAATTCTTTTAATTTTTTGCTCTATAAACAAAAAAAAAATATTTTTGACTTTTTGCTATAAAACATATCCAATAAAGAAATCAAAAAATACAATTTATTAATAAATTTAGGCCAAAATGTATTCTGCTACATGTGTTTGCTAAAAAAAAAAAAAAAAATCCCAATACGTTGTAAATTAATTGGTTTTACGTGAAAGTTATAGCGTCTACAAATGGCGGTGTATATACTGGAATTTTTTTTTCTACTAGTAATGGCGGTGATCAGCGATTTATAGCGGGACTGCGGCAGGCATTCTGACACTAGGGGAACTGACTAACTGCCACTGGCATCCCCAGTGATACTAATACAGTGATCACTACAAAAAAAAAAAAAGCAAGGACACTGTAATAATGACATTGGGCAGGAAGGGGTTAATAGTTGGGGCGATCAAAGGGTTATCTGTGTGCTGTTTTACAGTGTGCTATGTGTGTGTTTTACAGTGTAAGCAAGCTGCTTTGTATTGCCACCAATGAAGGGGCAATGACACCAATGAGTGGGAAGAATAGTGCCCCATCATTGGTGTCAGTGGGAGGAATAGTGCCCCATCATTGGTGTCAGTGGGAGGAATAGTGCCCCATCATTGGTGTCAGTGTGGGAGGAATAGTGCCCCATCATTGGTGTCAGTGTGGGAGAAATAGTGCCCCATTGTTGTTGTCAGTGGAAGGAATAGTGCCCCAACGTTGGTGTCAGTAAGAGGAATAATGCCCCACCGTTGTTGTCAGTGGGAGGAATAGTGCCCCAATGTTGGTATCAGTGAGAGGAATAGTGCCCCAATGTTGGTATCAGTGAGAGGAACAGTGCCCCATCGTTGTTGTCAGTGGGAGGAATAGCGCCCTATCGTTGTCAGTGGGCGGCACGCTAATAGAAAGAGGTGGAGCCTAAAGAGGAAGGGGTGGCGTTTACAGATGAAGGGGTGGATCTTAAATAGGAGAAGAGGTGGGCAAATTTAGATGCGGGGGGTGCCTGATTTTAGTCTTGCCTAGGGCAGCACAAAACCAAAATACACCACTGTCTGGGACTACATATCCAAACATTACCATACCATCCCGGTCCATGATTTGGAACAAAGTCCCTCTGTCCCTCTTTCCTCCTTATTTGTCCCTCATCTTGGTCTGATCTATATAGTTGTATATAAAATCCACTATTTATCTTTCAAAAAGTGTTTCGCGGTGATAAACCTTTCATCCGATTTCTAAATTGTTGCATTTGTAAACTTCAAAAGCCAGAATAAAGGAATAGTAGTGGTAAAAATAAAAGCACTTGTGGGTTTAACCAATCTTTTTTTTGTGCCTAATTCTCCTTTGACTGGCTGCCAGATCTGTAGCTCAGGAAAGGCACACAGGCGGCCAATCACCAGCGAGGAGGTGGAGCTTGGAGAGGAGGAGCTGAGCGGCAGCGTGAAGTTCGAAGTAGATTGAGTGAGGGACCAGCCGGAGCCAGTGAAGAGGAGGAGAGCGACCGGAGAAGGAAGACAGCTGATCAGTAACTGTCTGTGCCCTGCAGGCATTATCTGGGCAGAGCAGATGGTGCTGCTGTAGCCAGGTATGCTGGCTGTGGATGGGAGAGGGAGGGAGCCTGGGCTGGAGCACAGCAATGTAAGCATCATTGGTGTCAGTGGGAGGAATAGTGCCTCATCATTGATGTGAGTGGGAGGAATAGTGCCTCATCATTGGTGTCAGTGGGAGGAAATAGTGTCCCATCATTAGTGTTAGTGTAGGAGGAATAGTGCCCCATCATTGCACAGGTGGGGGCACTTTTCCTCCCACTGACATCAATGAGGGGGCACTTTTCCTCCCACTGACACCAATGATGAGGCACTATTCCTCCCACTCACATCAATGATGAGGCACTATTCCTCCCACTGATATCAATGATGGGGCACTATTCCTCCCACTGACACCAATAAAGGGGGAACTATTCCTCCCACTGACACCAATGATGGGTCACTATTCCTACCATTGACACTAATGATGGGGCACTTTTCCTCCCACTGACACCAATGACGGGGAATTATCCCTCCCACTGACACCAATAATGATGGGGAATTATTCCTCCCACTGACACCAATGATGGGGAATTATTCCTCCCACTGACACTAATGATGGGGAATTATTCCTCCCACTAACACTAATGATGGGGCACTATTTCTCCCACTGACACCAATGATGGGGCACTATTCCTCCCCACTGACACTAATGATGGGGCACTATTCCACCCACACTGACACTAATGATGGGGCACCAAATTCAATTTCTAAATTGTTGCATTTGTAAACTTCAAAAGCCAGTATAGAGGAATAGTAGTGGTAACATAAAAGCACTTGTGGGTTTAACCAATCTTTTTTTTGTGTCTAATTCTTCTTTGACCAATTGCCAACTGCGCTATAGCCGAGTGACAGCTACAATGCGGTTGTCCTGTCCTGGGATGGCGTCATATGACGTCCTCCAAGAACGCTCGCTCCCGCGCACACCCCTGGGGGGGTGCGCATCCTACGAACACAGCTGATCACAAGATGTGGTAAAAGGCCAATCACAGCAGCCTTTTACCACGTGATTAGCTGTGTCCAATGACACAGCAGATCACTGGTAAATGCAGTTGCCGTGACAGTGTGAGGAAAGTACTGTCAGAGTACTTGTCAGAGGACGGATCGGCACCGATCATCAGGGCACTGATGATCAGTGCCCTGATGATCAGTGCCCAGCAGTGTGACCCACCAGTGCCGCCCACCTGTGCCCAGCAGTGTCGCCCACCTGTGCCCAGCAGTGCCACCCACAAGTGCCCAGCAGTGCCACCCACCTCTGCACATCAGTGCCCAGCAGTGCCACCACCTGTATCCAGCAGTGCCAACCACCTGTGACCATCAGTGCCTAGTAGTGCCACCCACCTGTGCCCAGCAGTGCCACCCACCAGTGCCACCCATCAGTGCTGCCCAGCAGTGCCGCCAGTCAGTGCCCAGCAGTGCTGGCAGTCAGTGCCGGCAGTCAGTGCCACCCACCAGTGCCCAGCAGTGTCGCCTATCAGTGCCCATCATTGTTGCATATCAGTGCAGCAGCATCAGTGCCACCTATCAGTGCCCATCAGTGCTGCCTATCCCGGCCACCTCATCAGTGCCACCTAGCAGTGCCCATAAGTGCTGCCTATCAGTGCAGCCTCATCAACGCACATCAGTGAAGTTGAAAAATTACCTGTTTGCAAAATGTTATAATAGAAACAAAGAAAACTTTTTTTTTCAGATTTTTTGCTCTTTTTTTGTTTACAGCACAAAAAATAAAACACCCAACAGTGATTAAATACCACCAAAAGAAAGCTCTATTTGTGTGAAATTTTGTTTCAAAAAATTTCATATGGGTACAGTATTGCATGACCGTGCAATTGTCATTCAAAGTGCAACAGCACTGAAAGCTGAAAATTGGCCTGGTCAGAAAGGGGGTATAAGTGCCCGGTAGACAAGTGGTTAAGGGGGCGTGGCAGGGGTGTGTGTCCAATGCATACATGCATTTGCTAATAGGTGTCCCTCAGGTCCATCTCAAAAAGTTGGGAGGTATACATTACCAGAGCTCTGTAAGGAGAAAAAGGACTATTCTGGAACTTGCGGAAGTCTCAGAGAGGACGTGGTGGAACACACACAGACGGTGTAGATACCAACAAAGAAACTCTTTAGGGCACCTGACTCTAAGCTATTCCCATACAAATGAAAGTGAAAAATACAAAAATATAGAAAAGTGTAGCTGCCCCTTTAACCAGTACTGCTACAGTGCGGCAGGGCTGCGCAAAATCAAGTATATATATATACGAGATTTGCATTCCTGGGTAGGGTCACGCGTGCGCGTGCCACCCTACCTGCTCAGCTTTTGGTGGCTAGTCTTGTCAATCACTGGGCAATCGACGATCGTGGGGGAAAGCTGACTGGAGAAACCTTTGTGTAAACAACACGTCTCTGTCCTGTCAGCATGGACATGCTTTTTTGTATCTTTCTGCACAGCACACAGTAAAACACACGCAGCACACAGTTAACCCTTTGATCGCCCCAGATGTTAACCCCTTCCTGCCCAGTGTCATTAGTACAGTGTCAGTGCTTTTTATTAGCACTGATCACTGTTTTAGGGTCACTGGGGAAGTCAGTGGCAGTTAGTCAGTTCCCACCCAGTGTCAGAATGCCCGCTGCAGTCCCACAATCGGCACTGCAGTCGCTGATCGCCGACATTAATAGTATAATAATTTAAAAAAAAAATTCCAGTATCTATACCGCCATTTGTAGATGCTATAACTTTCACATAAACCAATTAATTTACACTTATTGGGATTTTATTTAGCAAAGACATGTAGCAGAATACATTTTGGCCTAAATTTATGAAGAAATTTGGTTTTTTAAATTTTTTTATTGGATATGTTTTATAGCAAAAAGTCAAAAATATTGTTTTTTTTCAAAATTGTCGGTATTTTTTTGTTTATAGAGCAAAAAATTTAAAGAAATGCAGAGGGGATTAAATACCACCGAAAGAAAGCTCCATTTGTGGTGAAAAAATGACATACATTTCATATATGTACAGTGTTGCATGACGTCCAACTATAAGTCCAAAATTGGCTGCCCCAACACCAATAATTTGTTCATGCACTTGTGCTTCTTCCTCTCCTCTTCTCACACTCATATACTTGTGCCACCAGATTAAAAGGATCCACCAAAATGTAAAACTCAAAATACTCACATATTAAAGTACCTAGAAGACCAGCACCAATATACACAGCCTGTTGTACTAGGAACCACTCTGTCACTGCAATCCCTAGAGCCGGCGTGCGTTACAATAGTCAGTAATTCGTAACCAGGTGTGACGACACCCAAACTCCGGAAGTGACGGATAGGACACCTCAGAGTGTTTCACCAGTGTGGCATCATTTCCATTCACACCAAAATGCAAATAAAACTAAGCGCAAAACATGGAAAACACATGCACATTTGTAAACAGGTGTAGGTCCACCTCCCTACACAGGTGGCACTGTTGCTACCACCCTGCAGGGAGAGTGAAGGACAGGAGGAATGCCCATTCCTTTTAGGCCTCCATACATGTTATTGGATGAACTGCTGTCCGATTGGGCACTGCCACCCGGGTGACCCTTGCTGCCATCTTTAGTGAGGGCAGTGCATTCTGTGTGTGGCTAGGGACAGGAACCCGCTCAACAGGGAGAGTGTGCCTAGCATAGGGAGAGGTTCCAGTGAAGGATGGACAGTATAGGGACTGTCCTGGGAGATTCTAAAAGAGAATCTTTCTGCTACTAGTTCTGCTGTATCTGCCTTCCAGCCACCACCTCTGCGCCATGTGTTGCCGGTGTTGCAGCAAGATCTGTCCCCCGTGAAGATCTGCCCCCCTTGTCATTACCCCCCCCCCAAGATCAGTACCCTGTGAAGATCTGCCCCCCTTGTCATTACCCCCCCACCCCAGGTTAAGTACCCCGTGAAGATCTGTCCCCCATTGACGCAAGCAACCCCCCCCAAGCAGCAACCTCAAGTGCAGATCTGGCCCCCCCTTGACGCAAACCCCCCCCCCGTAGCAGCAAGCTCAGTCCCCCGTGAACATCTTCCTCCCTTGACGCAAATCCCCACCCCCATGTGACTGGCCCCCACGTGTAACTGCACCACCAAAACATGTTATGGCCCCCCCATGTCACTGATCCCCCCACATGTGACTGTACTTGCCATGTCACAACCCCCCGCAGCTTGGCGACATGTTCTAGTAGGATCATCAGCAGCAGTGATCCGAGGGATGTGATTCAGTGGTTCGTGTAATTGCAATCCAGCATAAAAGGGGTTAACTGGGTAACACAGCGAGATCGCCGATCGTCTGCTTATGCCTCAAACTGGCACATGCGCAGTTGTGTGAAGGGGGGCAGATCTTCACGGGGGACAGATCTTGCTGCAACACCGGCCTCTATGCACCGCTTTCTACAAGAACTGCATAACCTTCTGCGAGTTACACTGTTACTGTATGTTGGAGCATTTTGATCATACATTTTTTGCAATTTCAACTTCTGTGTGTGCCGTGCCTTCCCTCAGGGTGCCTAACACCCGAGCCCATAAATCCTTCACGTTGATGTGCACCTAACATGCGTTTTCATGTACATTGTTGTTGGGTCTCCCTATAGCTGTGCAGCCAGGCAACACGCATTTTCCAACTTCCATTCAGAGTCAGTAACCAGTGCAAGGGATTGTTGTTTTATTTATGGTAAACAACTTGGATAGGGTCTAAGGGTATATAGGATACCCAACTTGACTAGTAGAACACAAACATTGAGGAAAACTTCTTGATGTCTGTACAAAAAAATTAAAGATGGATCCTGGACTACTGCTTCTGGAGAGGCACCAGTCTCTTAACGGATCAGTTACAAAGTCTCTTTTAACTAGTTGCCGACCGCAGATAGCCGAATGACGGACACAGCTGATCACGTGATGTGGTAAAAGGCCAATCACAGCGGCCTTTTACCACGTGATCAGCGGTGTCCAATGACACGCTGATCACAGGGAAATGCAAGTGCCGGTTCTCGGCTGCACTTTTCTCACGCTGTCAGATCGTGAGGAAAGTACTGCCGAGAACCGGCAGTTGTCAGAGCGAGGATGTCAGTGCCCTGATGATCGGTGCCCAGCAGTGCCACCCCGCAAGTTCCGCCCACCTGTGCCCAGCAGTGCGCCCACTAGCTCCGCCCACCTGTGCCCAGCAGATCACCCACCTGTGCCCAGCAGTGCACCCACCTGTGCCACTCTGCAGTGTCACACACCTGTGCCCAGAAGTGCCACCTACCTGTGCCCAGCAGTGCCACCCACCTGTGCCCACCCACCTGTGCCCACCAGTGCCCACCCACCAGTGCTGCCCACCAGTGCAGCCCAGCAGTGCTGCCAGTCAGTGCCCAGCGGTTGTGCCAGTCAGTGCCTCCAGTCAGTGCCCAGCAGTGATGCCAGTCAGTGCCGTCTATCAGTACCCATCATCAGTGTCACCTATCAGTGCCGCCTATCAGTGCTGCATATTAGTGCCGCCTATCCGTGCCACCTCATTAGTACTGCCTATCAGTGCCCTTTAGTGCTGCCTATCAGTGCCCATCAGTGCCGCCTATCAGTGCCCATCAGTGCTGCCTCATCAACGCACATCAGTGAAGGAGAAAAATTACCTGTTTGAAAAATTTTATAATAGAAACAAAGAAACTTTTTTTTTTTCAAATTTTTTGCAATTTTTTTATTTATAGCGCAAAAAGTAAAGCGCCCAGTGGCGATTAAATACCACCAAAAGAAAGCTCTATTTGTAAGAAAAAAAATGATCAAAATTTCATATGGGCACAATGTTGCATGACCGCGCAATTGTCAATCAAAGTGCGGCAGCGCTGAAAGCTGAAAATTGGCCTGGTAAATAAGGGGGTATAAGTGCCTGGTAGGCAAGTGGTTAAGGAGCGCTTGGTCTTCTTGGATGAAACTCTTCAGGCCCCAGCTGGAAGCTACCCACCCACATGGCTGCCTTGAAGACTATTCCAGAGCAAGGGATTCCAGAAGTCCTTAGGACTGTCCCTGGAAGAACTTGCTGGGTATTGCATCTGGCAGCCCTCTCCCTTGTAGGCCCTAGGGGTGAAGAGGTACTCACTCAGTCCCCTGTATCCTATGGTTTTGCATAGGACTGCTTGTTCGGGCCTTGTAGCTGTGCTAGTTTCCATACTGAACAGGGTACCCTCTGAATAGGACTTGTGGTGCAGTTCTCTCTGTCAAACTTTCCTCCTTTCTTCGACTCCTCCTTAGCTTTAGCCTGAAGGCAGAGCCCCTCTTCTCCAGGTCCCCTCCCAGGCCTCATAGTCATCAACACTCCATCTTCCATCCGATCATCAGACTCCTCTGCTGGCTAGGCTCTGTCATATTTTATTTATGGTCCTGTCTGCCACACTGCCAGGCCTCCTGCCTAGGATTGGTCAGACTCCCATGAATATGCAGATCTTATTCTCCACCCCTCTGCCCACTAGCTTCTAGAATCTTCTGGAAGACTCCAGAACTAGGGGGAGGTGACAGAGACCTGACCTGTAGAGCCCTCCAGCCTGACCCAATCAGACATGCTCATTTCACTACCATGAGCCAAGCTAAATGTAACTCTCTAGCAACAATAATTTTACATCACAATACTGTGTAGACATGTGTTGCAGTTTGTTGAGTTAAAATGCAGTGTATCAGCAGTTGTACAAAATGCAACCAATATTTTCTGTGTGCCCTTGAAGTGGCCTGTGTTGATCTGGTTCAGAAAAATGCAGGTCACGTCACATGGTATTAAAATGTAACAAAAGGCAATCTCTTAATAATTGCTTTCTGCTATAAATTCCTGTGACTCTAACAAGCAAAGTCCACAGAACTATTATGATTATCTTCTGTAAGACTGTATGCCTGCATGATCTCTGTTCTCTTTTCTTCATCATGATGGTAATCTATATATACGAATATGAGTGACATCACTCCGTCTCCAGGCTCCTGTTCCAAGTGTCGCAATGCCTAGTCTGATCCTCTGTTCCATTCAGATGAACTTTACCCTATGTTTGTCTGTTGGAAGGTTTCATAGTCCAATATAACCAACTAAAAACCAGGACTGTGAAGAACCAACAACCAGCCTGTTGTCAGGAGAAAGACATGGATTTTATTTCAAATATTGGTCCGACAGCTTTAATCAAGTAAGAGATTTTCAGCTTTTACTGATTTTATGTGGTATTAATGTTTATGGTGTTGTTTAAGGAAATATGACATTGACTGTTAACAAATTCTGTAGTGCTTTGTGAACAATCACCATTATCTTTGTGTGTCGGTTCTTTTACAGGTCTGTCTCCTCTGTGGGGTCAGAGATTTCAAGAAGAGTGAAAACAGCGTCTGCTCCACCTCAGAGACCCTTTCGTGTTTGTAGCCATGACCGCAGCTTGCGTAAAGGGGTTACTGCTGGAACACTCCGAGAGCTTGTAGCAAAGGTATAAGTGAGATAAAGGATAAAGTAAGATTTATAAGTGATTTTGTTTTCATTTGATCCTGCCACTAACAGGGTGTAAGACTTTAGTCGTATTCTCAGTGTTTATAGAAGTTCCTAACAGAAATGTGCTACTTTTATACAGTAATGTTTGATTTTTTTTTGCTCTCTGGGTATCATTAAAGATATTTCCCTACATTTGCTGTTCCAGAGACATAACAGGAGATTAGAGGAAATCTCCCAAAATGAGAGAAATTCCCTCTTAGATGTCCCTAATTGAAGATTTCTCCTCATATTTTACTCTGAGGACAAGATTTGTAAACAAATGTTTGTAGGAAAATTTGTACGAAAATTCTCTGTACATTTGCTGACTTGAATGTTGTTCAAAAGTACTTCAACATTTTGTTTGATTTTAACATTTGATTTTCGAATGAATGCAATTTTCTGAAAGAAAACCACAGACAATGTTAGAAATATGTTCATTTGAGAAAATTTCCATCCTATTCCTTTAAAATTTCTCGTCACTATGATTGAAAAGGAACATCTATTAGACCCTATTAATGATTAGAAAATCGAACGCTCTTAAAACAAAACATTTAAAATGAAATTTGACTTAGTCTATAGCCAGCTGAAAATGTTGTGTTTCCCCTTCTTTCTTTCCCAGTGACAATGGTCACAGTATAAATAGAGCGGTGAGTCTCCCCAATGGTATGGCTGCATGCAGTCCAACTTTGGGAATGTACAGGAAAAGGTGACAACACTGCAGGTGAATTGAGTTGTCACCTTATGAAAGGAGGTGCCTTTGGATAGACATTGGTGGTAGGACCTCTGGGTATGATTAAAAAAACCCATGAAATATAAAGAACAGATGAAAAGATGAAACTTTCTGTCTGAGATTAGAGGAACATGGGGAACAGCAAATTTCACTTTTAAAAAGGGTTTATGTAGTGCACAGATGGGTTTGGTCTGGCAGTTTGATCCCAGGTTCCCAGGTTCTATTCCCTGATAGGCACACAACAGCCAGGCAAACAACATTTGCCACACACTTGAGTCTATAAACAGGCTGTGCAGGCTGCACAGTGGAGTGAGGTTGAGCCTAAGGATGCTCCAGTAACTGCAAACTTGGAAATGAGGACACTAACTCTCCACTAAGAGTTTGGGGTGAAGGCACCCCCGTTGAAGAGTATAGATTAACAGCAACACACAGGAATCTCAAAACAGGAATGCAGCCCTGAATGTATAGAGTAGTAGCTAATGTTCTCCCAGGAATACTAAGGAAAGTCTTTAGATCCAAAAGGCTGCTACTCACTGTTTCCTGATATCCAGGCAGCCATGTGCAGGCTCAGTCAACTTCAATAAAATAGTTTTTTGTGAGCCACCAGGAGTTAACTTACTCTATTATTAGTGTTAATTGTGTGCTTAAGTGAATATTTATTAAATATTAGATCGCTAGGCACTAATTACACCCTCTCTAGGTGTATAAATATAAACTATAAATTCTTATACTGTACCGCGCTCCAATGTTATCAACCTTTTGTGATTGGCCTTTTTTGATTGTGTGAATTTCTTAATATACCACCTATAATCCAATCATTACTTACTTCTATGGTGCTTAAATATACAATTAACATAAATTAATTTATAAATGTGAATTAAAAAATTATATGTGATTATAACAAATATCAAAAAAATTAATGAAAAAATTGGAATGTCAATTCTATGTGAATAAAATTAAAATTAAATAAAAAAAAAAAAAAAATTAATAAAACATTAATAAAAAATATGGGAATGTCAATTATTTTCTTTGAATTTGAGATGGTGTTGTTATTCAATTTAGTTTATGTGATAAGTCTGTGTTGGCAGCTTAAACCTCTCCCTCTTGTCTCATCTCCTCTCTCCTCAGCTCAGCCTTCTCAATTGTGCTTTCTTCACTGGCTGCTTTGTTTATTCCTCCATATACGGAACATGCAGAGAAGGGAAAAGAAACATAGTGTCTTATCCGGGATATAAGTGATTAATTGCTCTTTGATCTCCCACTCACATTGTGTAAATGTAAATAACGCTTTGCATACAATGTATCCAGATCATGCTTCAGACAGCCTAGCTGATGTGTTTGTTCTCAGTAAATATACTCGCCGTTCCTCTGTGGATGCGTGATAACGTCACCGCCCCTCCCCTACGCGTTACGCTACAGGGACTCGTAGCTTCCTCTGGGGGATGTGGATTCCACATCCACATCCCCCAGAGGAAGCTAGGAGTCCCTGTAGCGTAACGCGTAGGGGAGGGGCGGTGACGTTATCACGCATCCACAGAGGAACGGCGAGTATATTTACTGAGAACAAACACATCAGCTAGGCTGTCTGAAGCATGATCTGGATACATTGTATGCAAAGCGTTATTTACATTTACACAATGTGAGTGGGAGATCAAAGAGCAATAAATCACTTATATTCCGGATAAGACACTATGTTTCTTTTCCCTTCTCTGCATGTTCCGTATATGGAGGAATAAACAAAGCAGCCAGTGAAGAAAGCACAATTGAGAAGGCTGAGCTGAGGAGAGAGGAGATGAGACAAGAGGGAGAGGTTTAAGCTGCCAACACAGACTTATCACATAAACTAAATTGAA